ATACTTACTGTACAATCATGCTGAGGTACCTGAAGCTCCAGATGCTATGCATTACTTGTTAATCTGCCACACAGGCGGTTCCCCAGCATGCACAGAGAACAGGACCTGCACCACACCTGGTTCTGTGCAGACCACCAGAGATGCCCACAGTGTGACCAGCAGGACTGAACAGAGCAGTTACAGCTGCTCTTCCATGCAGCTGTCAAGGTCTTGGTTTCGGGTAAGCTCCATACCAGACAAGTTATTTAACAAATGACAGTATATTTAAACATCAAGGCGGAGTCATGAGGATTACCCCATCTACTACTTTACAGTGCCTGACTGGGATGGCTGCTTAGCCCTTACATTGTAATATTTTTCCTTCTAGAATACATTCCTTCCCCAGTGCTGTTTTATGAAGGTCTCCACTTTAGAACAGCTGTTTGCAAGTGCAGATTTCCAGGTGCAGATCTGTTTCCCTCTAGTTCAAACTCACTTTAGTTGGCCTCTGAATGTGACATGGGGGGACAAGGGATCTTGCTGGTACCAGTCCTTGCCTACTCAAACTCCAGAAAGTGTCAAGGAAAACCTCTCCCAGCACATAGTCAGCTGCTAAAAGAAGACAGGTTGCTATCTAGACGGATGAGCAGAAGGTCAGTCAGGCAAAGCAACAAGGGTAGCAGAATGTCATTACAAAGTACGCATTGAGTCAAACGTGCTATGAAGTTCATACAACGTCTCCTCTGATCTGGTTCAAGTGCTACAATCTCTCTCTGTGTAAGGACTTTTCCAGACTCTTTAGTGGGCAGGCTGAAACTAGGATTTGACACTGGGATCTCCAGCATGAAACCCTGAACACACGGTATGTGTTCCTGGCATATACGGCTAGGTTTTTAGAAGGACAGCTGGAGGATGTATCTTATGTTTGCCCCCGTGGTTGTGGGTTCCAGAGCTTCATGGTCTGTCACTTTTGCCTCTGATGTCATTGTTGCTGGCCAAGCATGCAATCAGTCTTATGTCCACAATTACCATGCTTGGATTCAAACCCCATGCCCTGCTCCAGACCCTCATCATCTGTGCAGTGAGTTAATGAATATGCTGCTGTGAGAGTGTAGCTCGGGCTTCCCTCGTTATCCTGTCCCCGCCTCACAAAAAGTCCTGACTCCAAGGAGTCTGCCACGTTTGCCATGGAGGAGCTGGTTGTTCTCTGAATGTTGTGTGAAAAAATGAGTGCTCATGGGTACTCACAAGTGGTGTAAAGGGATTAAGACCTCTCTCTGTAGGGATTCCCAGAGGTTCCCAGTTGCTGAGTTCTTGCTACCTGCATCAAGGCTAGCACAAAGCAGCATGTTGAGACATCATAAAGCATACAGAAGAACAAATCTTGTTGAAAAAGACTCAAAATAGCATCTGCAAAGGGAAGTCCCGCTCACTAACTCTTTTAGCTTAGGAAAAGGGTGAGTAAGGGCAGGGAGGGCATGTTGGAGGTTATAAAATTATGCATGATGCAGACAGTGGATGGAGATTATTTTTTTCTTCCTCTCTCATTATACTGGAAAAAGCAATCATTTTCAAGTTATTCATGGTCATCTAGAAGTCTGCACAGAACTGAAGAGTTGGTGCAGCAATTGTAGTTGAAAAAGTTCTTGTTTAAAAATTAAAAAAGATCTGTGTTGAAATATAATAGTGGATATTTGTATGAAGCAGAAGGGAAAGAAGGCATGCATTATATGGTCTTCCATATCTGCTATTTTATTCACAGAAAAACACAGCTCTCTCTTAAACACTTAGATGTGACTTTAGTGGTACAGATTTTGTTGAAGGGGCAAATGAAAAGAACGTCATTTTATTGTCACTTTATGCTACTTTCTAATCTTCCCCTCTCTTCTTTTCGTTCCTGCTGTTTGCTATCATCTTTCCATTGATTATTAATATGTCAAGATGTGGCCTCTTGATAGCTGTCATGGTAGGCATTCAGAGTTCAGAATTTCCAAATGTCAGTGTCACTACTTCATTCATTTTTTGGAATTCAAGAAAATAGAGCAGCTGATGTAACTTGTGCAGAAAGTAAACTCTCAATGAAAAGTCTTGAGAAAGTTATCATTCCTAAATTGCATTTTTTAAAAGGGGGAAACTATAGTTGTCCACTGAGTTTTCCATGAAAAGAAATTGTGGTGGAGGATCTCCATTTATATTTCTAGTAGAGAAAACTGAAAATTTTGCATCTTCTTTAAAAAAAAGACCATGAAGATCATATAACACAAGTAATTGTTACCATAGACTAATGGAAGTTTACTCAATAGTAAACTTGATCAAAACTTTAAAAAGAAAAAGAATAAGCTGTGTATGTAAGTGCTCAAATATAATCATCAAATTATCACAAGGGATATGAGTGATTAAGGATGATACCAAACCATTTGGCAGAGGGACAAATTGTGGTCTTCCTGATGTTGAGTCCTACAGCTCCTAAGAGCCCTACCCTGCATAGCCATTAGCAAGTCCCAAATTCACTTTCACTAGTCTTGTTTGAGCTGGCAAAGACCTGACAGTATGAAAGGTGTCACACATATGGGTCACAAAGGGCTATAGGTAGTCCACAGGCAGAGCTTTGGCACAATCACCTGCCATGATGGTGGAAGATCACCAAGAGCCATCAGAAGAACATTTGGACCCATCACCCCCCTGGGTCTGACCATATTAATTGGTCCCTCATCCCTGCAAAAACTCCCAGGCCCAGTAAGACTAAACCCACCTACTAGCGATCTGTTTATGACAACAAAAGCATTCTTCCACCCGGAAATCACCATCATCCCACTCATCACAGAAAACAAGATTCAAGGTGTGCCCTGTTGAATGACAGGCCCACAAAAGGAAAAATGTTGAGCAGCAGGATGAGCAGTAAACCATTGCAACTTGGCCTCCTGCCCCATCCTCAGGTCTTGCCTGGTGGTGTGCAGAGGTGGATACTGTTGCATACAACCAGATCTCTGATACAGGCCGAATCAGCATGCGCATCCAGGATCAAGTCCTGGCTGGCCATTCACCAACCAGGCATTCAGCAACAGTATGCTTCCAAACCACAACTAAGAAACAGACACACAGTGTTAGTTCTGTATTTGGGCTAGATCCCATGTAGCCCAAATGGACTTTCACTGGTGGAACATGACTTCTCTGTCCTCTCATCCTTCTACAGTCCCTGGCAAGTGCCTCAAATATCTTCTGGAAAATCCTCAAACCCAAATTTGGCAGGGGGAGGTAGCTGCAGGAGGGAGAGATAAATTTGTTTGGCTAGCAGATGATCAGTGTTGCACCCAATACTTTAAGGTTTTTTTATAATTAACTTATAGTTTTACTAGTTTGAATTACTGCAATTAGAATTACTTAGTAGCTGAGAGCCAGTGTAGTGATTAAGAGTGTGGGACAGGGACTCAGCTGATCTGGGTTCTAGTGCCCACTCAGCCATGGGGCCAACTGAGTGACTTTGGGCCAGACTCTCAGCCCAACCTACCTTACAGGTCTGTTGTTGAAGGGATAAGATTGAGAGCAGTAGGACAAGAATGATGTAAGCCGCTTTGTGCTCTTTAAAAAAGAAAAAGGCAGTATATAACTCTAATAAATAAATTAATACAATGCAGGAAGCTCCCTTATATGGAGTCAGACCATTGGTCTATCTGGCCCAGTGCTGTCAATACTGACAGGCAGGAATGGAGATGACATAAGTTTAATCTGAGACCTCCATGCAAGGAATGTGCTTGACCACTGAACTACAGCCTGAACTGTTATCAAAGGTTACATTTGATGTTTTGCATATTCAAAACTCATTTTGCATCTATTTAAAATGGTTGATGCTTCAATCTTTTGATAAAAGCAAATTTCTATGTTTAAAAATGTGGGGAGAAGTAAAAAACATGGTGAAAACCATTTTATCACATGGATATTCAGGACCCATTTACAAAATTAAAAATACAAATAAAAATAGATGGACTTACAATCCAAACATATACCTGTCTACTCAAAAAAAAATGCACTTTTTCAGTCCTGTGGCAATTGCATTTGCTCCCTTTTGGCTTCTAGAAGCAAACAAGATCTCATTTATAGAGTGTTATATTGCCTGGTTTATCTGCAGATGCCTCTTCTTGGAATGAAAAACTAAAGGTTTCCTTCACCAGGGATAATATGCAACAGGGAATACTCTGTAATGGTTCTAATATTGTGGAATTCAATGCCTCCCTGTGCTCATCCATGCATTCTCATTGGGAAAGCTGCTTTTGAGGCATTTTGAACAATTAAGGACTTCTGAGACTTCTTAGTCACTTTCTCAAGTCAATTTCACTTTCTCAAGTCAATTTCATTGTAGAAACAGTTATGCGTATCTCATGTGTTTGCATTGCAATTGTCACCCATTTGTAATAATAAGTTAGGATAAAACTAAATGATGCTTAGTTGTTTGATTTAAATCTATATGAGGACCATCCTCTTACCTCAGAATAGCTAGTAATTTTTAGGGTACTTCCCCATTCTTGTTGTTTGTTATTTTTCATGTGGTAGGATTTCCCCGCACCCCTGACTTAACCCTGCTATTATGTTGGTTCCCAGTGCCTTTCAGCCTATCCTCGTTATTTTGCACTAAAAGCTACCTTCACAACTTTCTCCTCAGCTTGATCTAAGCATAGCTGAAAATTGGCCACCAGCCAACTTGCAAATGTTACAGCCAGAGCTACACCTGAACTGAGAATGTGTGTTTTTCATCCAGAACATTTGTAGCATTTGCACCTCCCTTAAGAGCTTATTATTCAGCATGAGAAACAGTGATTTAGATCCCAGTAGAAAAAAAGCAAGTGAACCATAAATAGCATTTATCTCTACCAGAATAAATGTATTCGCATTCCATAAGTGGAGCAACTCACTTTTGTGCTTTATACAAGAATAACTAGGCTTGAATAATTTGTGCCTTAAGGGTTTCTGCTAAAATCCAAGTAACACCAAAACATTGCTTCAAAAAAGAAAACATATATACTTACTCATCTAACTCTTCTTCTTCTGTTTTTGATATGCTGGCATAGAGGTATTTGCTCATGTCCACAGGCTGGACATTTTTTCTTTTTGCCGGTTGAGGAGGAAAGTCTTGGACAGGTGCTAGTGTTTCTGGCTCAGGGTCAGTCTCATCAAAAGGGTTCACATACTCTGCCGCTTCCTCTTCTTTAAAGGGGTTGTATTCATTATCATCATCATCATCATCATAGTAGGATTCTTCTTTTGAAGATGAAGTCACCTTAATATCTGGTTCTGAAGAAAGCAATATAAAGGGTTGCTTCTTAATTCAGAAGAAATTCTAAATTACTAATTAGACAGTCATTCCCACTACAGTGCAGAGCAACACATTTCTAATCCTACTTTAGCAGAGTGCAAGATATTTATTATTCATAAACATTATTAGCAGAGTAGGATGATCATATTTAAACGGTCTTCTAAGTTAATGCAACCTTATGAGAAAAAGTTAGGTTAGATGAACATGGGCCAACACCTTGGTGACTACTGATGTACAAAAAAAGCTATTCTGAAATTTTACCAGAATTGGCAGGACAGTTTCATGGAATCATCCACATAGGAAGCTGCAGCAATGATAGTTAACCAGGGCTCACAGCATGAAGCAGTCACTCCAAGTGGCAAGTTCCAGATGGGGTGCCATTTTCCTGCTTCCAATTTCCATCTTTGTGCATTTGGTTGCATTTTTAAAGACGACAAAAAAAAAAAAAAAAGGGTGGAGCAGGGGTTTGTTTTGACGTGAAGTACCTTTGAAATCTCCAAGGCCAGCACTATGATTCAGCACTGGTCATTGTAAAAAATCAATCACATACAAAAAGAAGGGACGGTAGAAGTCAAGGCTGCACAACTTGTATCCTACCAAGCAAACTGCCTATACTGTGGCCTGCCATGTGCTTGGTGATCCCCCATTTTTGCAGTGCAAAGCAAAAGTGAAACAGGTATACCACTATATATGGCTGCTGGAATGTTTTGGCTTAGTAAATCAGATAATATTCAATAGATTAAAAAGACTAAAAATGCAGAAAATCTGCTCTAAGACATTGCCTATAATCTACTCCAAGAACTTGCCTAAGATCAAGAAACCTCAAGTGACATTTGTTATTTTCCGTCTACCTACCTATGTTGATTCTGGGGCTAGAACCCTAGATATACCTGAGTTGGGACAGACTGATGGAGTGATAGAGACATATTCAAAGGCTGCAAATTACGTTTGTGAAGAATACTTGGTGTCTCCTAAATGAATACTCTGTCATTCAATCTATAATATTTATGACAAAATGTACTTTAAAGAGAGACCATAATAGGTATGAAGTGGAACATATTTAATCAATCATGAAGCAAATAATGGATTACGTATTTATGCCCAGGTGTAGGAAGTGCAATAGTTAATATTTAGCTGCTTTTATAATTTCAGAAAACATTTTTAAAGAAAAGAAAACCTTTCAGGTTAAGCATCTAAGAAATGAATAGAATAAACAAAAGTGACAAAGGAGATTAAAAATAATAATAATTGGGAAACAGGCAAGAAAAGCAAGCTCATAAGGAAGACTGTATACTTAAAGAATAAATCACTTGTAATAAAATTTGGCACTTGTATTGTCCTTTAAATCTTCAAAGGACTTTACAAACATTAACTAATTAATCTAAATACTTCTATCACATGCAGCTATAGCAGAAATCTGGGATATATTACTAATCCATGGCAAAGCTAAAAGGGAAACACAGTTGCTGCTTAAACGGTTTAATCCTTCCTTAAGTACTGCAGAGTAAAAAAAAGTTTGGGATAACTAGTTTTTTAAAAACCCTAACAATTATAATATCGAATTACACACAAAGACAATGGGTCCCTCCCCTTGCTATACTGAATCTATCCTTCTGGTAGTCATCACAGCCCATAGAGACCCATTCTCCCTTGCAGAGGAAGGCAGGACGTGCTCCAACGGAGCAAAGCTCAGGGAGCCAAGCTTCCATTTAGATGCCAGGAAGCACTTCCTGATAGTCAGGACCCTGAGGGTGAGGAATGGGCTTCCACGGGAGGTCGTTGAGGCCCCATTGGTGAGGGTGTTCAAGGATAGGCTGGACATGCACATGGTGAGAATGTCATGAGTGGAGCCGTGGGTCCGACTAGATGGCCCAGGAGACCCCTTCTGACTCACTCTGTTTGTATGTTTATATAGTTCATTAGTTTCTATACCAGCCTGCATCAACGACTAGCACCCAGGATGCACTGCATTATATGATAAACACAAATGAAGATACACATCTGTGGTTTGCACCAGGAAGCATATGTTCACAAGCAAGGTGCCTTTGTGTGTGTGTTTCTGTGTGCATAACAATAAAGAAAATAATAAGATTTAATGGAAGAATGTATGCTCAGTTCTACTCCCATCCCAGAACACGAGAGATAAAAGAAAAGCACCTGGACATGTTCAAGGCCATTTTGACTACTGAGTGACTACTACCACCCCTTTGGGATGAGGAGAAGGTATACCATATGTGGCGTTGAGGTTTGCAGGCAGTTATAAGAATACCAATTAAAAAGCTGGGGTTAAAAATGAATGACCACAGGCTTGGTTGCTGATCCCAAGGGGCTTCATGCTTCAAAGCATACTTACTGCTCAGAAAGAGACTAGAACATAGCTGAGCTCCATACCTTCCAAATCCTTCCTCACAGCAGCAATAAGAAAATGTCCACCCACTCCCCACTACTTGTTGCAGTACACAAGCCCAACCTCTGCTTTTTATCTGCTCTTTTTTGTTGTAGCTAAGCCCGTATCTTGCAGGCTTTCTGATGGGAGCAACAGCAATGCAGGCATGATTCCACATTGTTTGAATCCTTCAGTTCGGCTTCAGACCTGAAACCCACAGCTGCCATTTACATGAATCACAGAGTTGGAGAGGGCCTTATATGCTGTCTAGTCCAACCCTGCTTCATACAAGAAACTGAGAGCTACAGTATCACTAACAGGTATCTGTGTAGCACCTGCCTGAATCCCTCCAATGGAGGAGAGACCACCATCTCTCTAGGTAACTGGTCCCATCATCGAACTGGTCCTACCATTAAGGAGTTTCTTCTAATGGCCAACAAATAAGTACTTCCCCATAACGTGCACCCATGAGATCTAGTGCTGCCTCTTGCAGCGGCAGGCCAGCAGTTATGTTGCTTCCCATCCCCTGAGCAAGCATATCAGAAAAGGAGAGTAGCCATGCTGGATCAGTCCAAAGACCAATCTAGTCCAGCATTCCAATTCATACATTAGCCACTCAAATGATGTGTAATATCCACAAGTAAGACATGAAGGAAGTAGCACCCCCCCCCCATGTTTGTATCCCAGCTATAAAGGTATAATGGCTCTGTAGTACATAGCCAGGCAACATAACTAATAGCCCTGATAGCCTTATCCTCCAAAAAGTTGTTTATTTCCTTTTGAAGCCTACCAAGTTGGTGGCCATTGCTACTTCTTGTGGTAATGAATTTTATAGTTTAACTCTGTGCTGTCTGAAGAAGTATTTAATTTAATCTGTCCCAAGTTTCCCACCATTCAGCCTCACCAGATGACTCCAGGTTTTGCTATGTATGATATCATGCTTCCCCTTATTCAACTTTTTTCCAGCCTAAACCCCTTCAACTGCTGTAGGTTCTGTCAGAGGGGAGCCACTCTAGCCTCTTGGTCATGTTGTTGCCCTTTTCTGCACTTTTCTCAGCATTACCAAATCCTTTTCGAGTTTCACTGTTCAGAACTGCTCATTGTAAGATCATAAGTAACGAACAAATACAAAACAAGATTCTATACCTTCCATATCAGGGTCTCCAAAAGGGTTTAGTTCTGTTGCATCAGGATCTACAAATGGATTTGAGCTGGAATTGGCCAAGTCCTGGTCCTCTTCATCCAGGAAATTAAGCTTGTTGATAAGCTCTGAGAAGCCAAGTTTTTCAGTATAACAACAGTTAGGACATATATTGTTCAAACATTTTTCCAAGTTCTTAAGCCAACTATTTGTGAAAATGATTAATTGCACCACATTATCTGCTGTAAAACTAGCAGGTGTTTTGTAGCACACCAATAGTACTACTTCAGTGAAATGAACAGAATCTTTCAGAGCAGAATACTCCTTGCTTTGTGGCACTGGCTGCTTAGAGCAACCTCCTTTGGTGCAAGGCCCAAAGGACACTGGTAGCTCCCAGATGCCTCAACTGAGGCTTTTTACCTCTCTCTAACAGTTCATTCTCAGAAGAGATTCTAGGCTTAGAAGGGCATCTGAGCTGTGGAGTCAGGAGGTCTGTTGCTCATTGGCAAGAACAATCAGTCAACTAGCTGTGACTTGGAAAGAAGCCAAGCGGAAAAGATCGGTGTTGCTGGCTAACTCCAGTGGTGCACTTTGCAAGTGCAGGAGGAGGAGCTAAAACTGAATGCACAGGCCAAGTGAAGATAGAAACTGTGATCTTGCCTCAGAGATTTTGTGGCACTGAGTAAAGCAGAGCATTCTCTAATTGAAAAGAAAAAGCTCTATCCCTGTCTAAGGACCAAGGGAATCCTTTGGAATTTCCTTGTTTGGTGACTTGATGACTGATTGACTGACAGCTCTTCCTTGGATGACATGGAGGACAGCCTTGAAAAGGGTTCCAGTCACATCTGCTGAACAGCTTGACAAAGTGTGTGTGTAGGGGGCAGATGAGAAGCACCCGTGGCCCAAGAAAGCTCCCCAAACATCTTGGTGGTGCCTAGAACCAAGGTTCTTTTTGCCTAAAAAATAGCATCCTGATCTAGACCATGGCAACCTTTTTCTGAAAGCAACTTCACAGGAGAAAAACACTAATAATTCTTTTTTGTAAAATTAAACATGCAACCGGTTTCAAAACGCAAAAAGGATGAAGTTTTTCCCATAATCAAGGAGAATTGTCTATGTACAGTGTAAAGCTGACCTCAGGGAACTATTGTGACATTTTAACACATCTCGAGTACAAGTATGCATACAGTTGTGTGGCATTGCTATGCTAATTTTAGCCATTAAAGTAACTAATCAGGACTGGGCAACCTGTGACCCTCCAGATGCTATACAGTACAGCTCCTCACATCCCTGACCATGGGCCATGCTAGCTGGGGCTGATGGGAAATGGGGTCCAACAATGTACAAAGGGACACTGACTGCTCACCCTTTAAAACTGCTAGTTGAAGTACAAATTCCTTTCAAAGGGAGCAATGGATGTCAAGCACAAAGATACAACTCACATTCAAATACAAATAGAGACCAAGGGGTAACAGAACACAGTGAAAATCAGACAATCAGAAAGAGAAAGGAAGAAGGAAAGCTCATAGACCTTCAGAGGAACTGGCTGATTTAACGGAAAGCATATTTGCGTGCTTTATGCAGTCATCTTGATCTTCATCTAAGCTGCTCAGAGCATTCAACTGGTTTACAATTTCTGTAAACAGAAGCCAGTCAAGACAATTGTGAGGTAAGGTCATTTAAGAGAAAAGGAGTACAAAGCATGCTGTTATTTGAAAAAGAGAACAGGAAAAGAAAAGACATAAGTTAATTTCAGAATGCATGCTAAAGTGAATCATTACAATAATTCTCAGCATATCCTTGCACTTGTATGATGATTTCATTCAACATTTTCATTTAAAGGAAAACTACTACCTATGTAGTAGAAAACTAGATAGAAAACTATGTGTTGGAGAAAAATATTATTTGAATGGGGGATTCAAAGCCCTTTATTGTTTCCAGCAGCCCTCAGGGCCAGCTCCAGATCTCATGAACTGAAGAGCCTAATTTGAATGCCTGCAGATCCCTCCTCCTCACTTCATGTTCAGTGTCTGCAGACAGTCTCCTTCCTGCACTTCATCTTGAGACTCTGAGCAGACACTGGCTACACTATCAAGTCAGAATTTTTCTCCTCCCTGTCTTTTCTTAATTACTATGGCATTCCAAATCTTCTTTTTTTCATTGTATCAGAGATGTCATGCTTGTTGATTGCCAAGCTTTTGTGAAAAAGATCTTTGCATCTATTAATATATAATTCACTATCACCTTTAAATCTCTAGAGAGCTGATCTTTAATAACACTCAGGAGTATAGCTGTTGTGTTTCACTGCAACGTATAACCCTGTAATTTCTTTGATGCTGTTTTATTATCTTCTGTAATATTCCTTAATGTGACTACAGTGCCAACATATATGGGCAAAGTTTCTCTTCCATTTAACTCCCACACCTATGTGTTATTACTGCAAACATCCTAGAGATACTGGGTGGTGCAGTTCTTCTAGATATTTGTACAAGTCACATCTATTACATTCCTATAAATCTTTGAATATGCATAATACAAGTGACTTTTATGTAAAATCTTCCCCACCTTTTTTTTAGTTACCTCTCATCCATTATAATACAATATTTTTATTCCTGGGAAAATAAGAAAGGAAAAAGGAAAGGAAAAAATGAAAATAATCCTTTCTGTACATTCAATCTCATTAACTTCTCAAAAGAAATAGTAAGCTAGCCATGTCTATACCCCCAGTTCCTTCTTAAATGCTACTTCTCATTTGCAATAGATTTTTTATCTGCCAACTGGATGGAGGAAATATCATCTGTACATTTTTCCATCCTGCCTACTAACCACACAGCTCACACAGTTGTATGATCTTTTGGTTGACTAATAGAAGTATTGCACAAATAAGGATTTTGGAATATGAATGGTAGAGATCCTTTGATGAGTAAGCAGAAAGGTTCAGCAAAACTACCTCTATTAGTTGTGTGTGTTATGGTATGAGAGGGGCAAAGCTGACTCATAGAAGAAGCACTTATGAAGAACATTATTTGTGACCAAGGTATAGAGACATACTAATGCAATATTACGCTGATATCATCAGTACGCTGATGATACCCAGCTCTACCTCTCTTTTTCAACCAATCCAGGTGAGGCAGTGGCTGTGCTGAACTGGTGCCTGGTCAAGGTAATGGGCTGGATGAGGGCCAATAAACTGAAGCTCAATCCAGACAAGATGGAGGTCCTGTTGGTGGGTGGCTTAGGCTCTGGGGTAGGGGACCTGGACCTTGTCCTGAATGGGGTTGCACTCCCTCTAAAGGACAGGGTCCGCAGCTTGGGAGTGCTCCTCAACCCAGAGCTGTCTTTGGAAGCGCAAGTGACTGCGGTGGTGAGGAGCGCTTTCCTTCAACTTCAGTTGATCCATCAGCTGCGCCCCTACCTGGAGAACGATTGCCTGGCGACAGTGACACATGCATTGGTTACTTCCCAATTGGACTTCTGTAACACGTGCTACGTGGAGCTGCCCTTGAAGGTGGTCTGGATACTTCAGATGGTGCAAAATGGAGCTGCCAGGTTGCTGACGGGGACTGGGAGTTATTCTCATATAACCCCAGTCCTCTACCAGCTTCACTGGCTCCCCATCGAAGTCCGGGCCCAATTCAAGGTGCTGGTTATTACCTATAAAGCCCTTAATGGCTTGAGACCTGGATATCTAAAGGAACGCTTGAGTCCATATTTGCCCTCCCGCCCCTTGAGATCGGTGGCAGAGGCCCTTCTCCGGGAACTGTCCGTGAAAGATATTAGGAGGGTGAGTACCTGGAGGAGGGCCTTCTCTGCGGTGGCGCCCCTCTTATGGAATGCGCTCCCCAGAGAGGTCTGCCTGGTGCCATCATTATTTGTTTTTCGGCGCCAGGCCAAGACCTTTTTATTTAAAGGATATTTTAATAATTGTTGATTTTATTTATTGGTTTTAATATTGAACCAGGATGTATCCAGATTTTATATGTATGTATTTATATGTGTATTTATTTATGATGTTGGAAGTCATCCCGAGGCTTATGAGAATGGGATGGCATACAAACATTCCAAAATAAATAAATAAATAAAAATATTGGTCACGTAGTTGCCATTGTTGAGGTTAGGTATGCTTCTCTGTTAATATGTATTGTATAAAGGTCCATAAACTGAGGCTTAATCCTGGTAAGACGGAGGTAAGGGAGAACTCTGCTAGGTTAGGAGGGCATTACCCTGTCCTGGATGGGGTCACACTCCCCCTAAAGGGCAGGGTCTGCATCCCAGTCTGTCCCTGGAATATCAGGTGAACTCAGTGTCTAGGAGTGCCTTTTTCCAGCTGTGGCGGATTTTCCAGCTCTGCCCCTACCTAGACAGTATTTTCTGAGAACCTGAAGATAGTTACCCATGCTCTGGTAACTTCCAAAATAGATTATCGTAATGCACTCTATGTGGAGCTACCGTTGAAGATGGTCTGGATACTTCAATTGGTTCAAAATAGAGCTGCCAGGCTGCTGACGGGGACTGGGCGTTATGTTCACATGACTCCAGTTCTCCGTCAGCTTCACTGGCTTCCCATTGAAGTCCGGGCCCAATTCAAGGTGTTGGTGATGACCTATAAAGCCCTAAACGGCTTGGGTCCTGGTTACCTGAAGAAGCGCTTACATCCATATATGCCCGGCCGCCCCTTGAGATCTGCGGGAGAGGCCCTTCTCCGGGAACCCTCCGTGAAAGAAATTAGGAGGGTGGCTACTCGAAGGAGGGCTTTCTCTGCAGTGGCGCCTAAGTTATGGAATGTGCTCCCCAGAGAGGTACGCCTGGCGCCGTCGTTATTTGTTTTTCAGCGCCAGGCAAAGACCTTTTTATTTAAGCGGCATTTTAATTGTTAATATTATTGGATTTTATCTAGCCAGGGTGGCTTATTTTATATTGGTAATTTTGCATTTTTAACTTAATGTTTGTATTTTTTAATTTAATGTTATAATTATTTTTTAACTTAACGTTGTAAGCCGCCCCGAGGCTTTGGCGAATGGGGCGGCATAAAAATGTTTTAATAAATAAATAAATAAATAAATAAGATGTATAAATAAATAAAACTGTTGTGAAATTCCAAGCAGAACTAACATATCAATCCTTTAATAGCCACTTTGATTCAAACCCCACCATTCTACCAAAAACTGGAGTCAAGGCAGCTGTTCCCTTTTAACCAATTTATCTGGTCACCTTTTTAACTGGCAAATATGTGTTCCTGAACAGTAGAATAACTGAGCTGCTGCAGTTGCTGCTGCTATCTTTATCATTACAATTAACACTGTTGTGTATGATACTTTACAGAGTAAAAATCCCTGTTTTGAAGGGATTTAGAATCTAACATTTGACAACAGAAATAATAGAGAAAGAGGAGGATTTGGTGGCAGGAGGAAAAGAGGAGAAGGATATGCTCATGGTTCATAGACATTCATGGGGTTAGAAGAAGGTGTGGGAATTAGAGGGATCTGCCACAGACTTCACAGGAAAGGTTAGTTTTGTCCCATCTCAGTCCAGAATACCTCGAGTTCTTTGCATCACAAGGGACCCCTCCCTCTCCATACATGATTGGTTGATACAAGCTTGGAGAACCAAGGAAGGCATGAAGAATTCCAAGGAATAGGCCTGTCATGGATTGAGACTGAATAATACAGCTTAACCCTTAGGTCTTTTTTTCTCTTTGAATAACCTTATGTTCATTTCTATATGAACTTACATGAACAAACACTCCTGGATTGTTCTAGCTATGTGTCACCCAGTTGAATATGACTTATGGAGACCCTGTGAATGAATGCTCTCCAAAAGATCCTGTCCATGATAGCCCCACTCAACTCTTAGTAAACACTCCTGGATGAGAAAACTTCAAATGTCTGCTACTAATTGGCTTTATCTTCTGCTGGGTCATTTTTCCCCAAACAAGAGCATACTCCCTTACTGAAGGTGTCACCAACTATGCTAAGCTATACCTCTATCAGAGGGTGGACGTATGATTCTAATGCCAATGTTTCTGGTCCTGGTATTGCTTCCTCCACCAACTTGTTCTGTCTGCATTGTCAATCATCTTTTTTACTGCTTGGAATGGACTCTGGACTTCATTGGGTAGATCTCTTCCCTGGTTGCTGTATCATGTCTTCAGGATCTGCAGGGCATACTCAGATGATAACCACTGCCCTAGCAGGCCAAACTCCAATTCAAGTTTTGGTTTACCACCCAAGCAGATAATGTCCTCCTCTGTGTAATTTCTCTTTCTGAAGAAACTGAGGCAGGGTGATTGCAAAGGACAGTGACCTGTGATCTCTCCCTTGCTTTCCTTTACAGAGTAAATACTTTCCAGCAGGGGTCCTCAAACTTTTTCAACAGGGGGTCAGTTGAAAGGTGCAGGTGGTGGGCACGGGCCAGGAAGGCGGCAGGGCACGCACGCACACGGGGTGAGGCAGGAGCGTGGTGAGGTGGGGGCAGGAGTGCACAGCGAGGGGAGGCGAGGGGAGGCAGGGCGGGGGCGCGTGGCGAGGCAGCGGTGGCCGTGCGATGCAGCGGCTTGCTCGCTCGGAGATCGTCTTCCATCTCCACGTGAGTGAGGCGGTGGCGGGCGTGTGCGGGGCGAGGTGGGCGGTGGCGGGTGGTGCCAGCAGGCGCGTGCACAGCGACTCAAAAACCTCAGGCGGGCCAAATAAATGGCCAGGGCGGGCCAGACGCGACCCGTGGGCCATAGTTTGAGGACCCATGCTTTACTTTATTTTATTTATTTAAAACATTTCTATGCCGCCCCCATCGCAACAAAGCCTCAGGGCGGCTCACAAAAAATACAAAAAAACATACATAAACAATAACAAGAGATGGGGGCACCTGTGGAAATTCTTGCCTGAAGGCCTTCCGAAGCTCAGGCGGGTCACTCCAGCAGCACCCCTGTTTAGCTCTGCGCAAACACGGGCGATTGGCAAGGAGGCACTAGCCGGGGCATCGCCGGGGGGACACTCTGAAGGCGGCTCTGGGGCTGCTGAGCTTTGGAAGCAGCAGGTAAAGGGAGGCATCACACACGGTCTGGAGGAGGGACGGGAAGGCGGCTCTCCTCTCCCCGGGAATCCTGGAGCAGACCCGTGGGAGATTCACACAAGCAAAGGGAAGCGCTCTGCAAGCGCCCGATCCGGCCGTGGAGTCCACTAACCAGGGTGGCTTTAGCAGGAAGATTCCCGGAGGGGAAGGCAGCCTGGGGCCACATGCTGTGACAACCATACATGGCCCCCATGGTTCGGAGGCTGGGTGCCCGAGGGCCAGCTGGCAAGTTCCTGGAAGAGCAGGGCCACCTCGGCCTTTGGGCACACCTGGCCGGCCACTGAAGCAGAGAAGGGCTCAGCCGAGCCGCTGGTCAGATTCCACTTGCGCTCAGTGCCGCCCCCCGTTGGCCCATCGCCCCGAGGCCTCCACTCCTGTTTCAGCTCCTCCAGCGTGGGGAGTGCCACACGTCCTCTTCTGCCAAAGCACCGGGGGAGTGTGGGCGGCCAGCGCTCCCTGCACCCGGCCCATCCTCTGTCCCGCTCCCTTGGGGGAGGACGAGGGCTCAGCTTCACTGCTGGGAGAAACCATTTTGCCTGGCGATTCCCTCCCTCCCTCCCTCCCTCCCAGAGACAGGCCCCACAGGACCGCCTGCCCACAGTCTCCTCTGCCCAAACGTCCACCTGGCAACTCCTCCGCCATGAGATCTTGTAAGAGGAGGGTTTTGCAATCGCCCCGGCAGCCAGGCCGTTGCTGCCACACTCCCCTTTCAAGTTCCCTGTGTTTACTTCAAAAGCATCCTCCCTGTAATTTAAGAACAGGAATGCTCTTAAATTACAGTCCAAAATGCAAATACTGTGCAGCCTCAGCGAGATTCTAGAGCAAATATGTGGCAGTATTCAATGGAATTTCACAGTGGGTCCTGCCTGTGCAACAGAATCTGTGGGAAGAGCTGACTGCAGAACTGAACTGGCAAGGGACTAACTGATTTGGCAGGATCACAGTGCCCCATGGGAAGATGCCCTAGAACCACCCTTTCTATATAACTTGCCTCTAGTTCATTAGGTCAAGGGTGACAGGCAAGAACGTAGTACTGATTGTCATAGCCAAACTCTCAGGCTCTTGTGCAGCTGTCCAAGAGGATCACAAATACCTATATCATTCTGCCTATATCATTTGTATTATGTCTACCACAGGCTGGTCACCTATGGTATAAAAGTAATTCCAAAATGCTGAATTCCAATGCAAATTATGCTACTCTAAATTGATATAAGGGGGAATGTTTTTACACTCATAATGCCTCAAACCAGATTAAAAGGCAAAAGCCATTTTGATGTCAGTTTTTGGAGGAAAACACACCTGTAATTTTTGCAGCTTTTTCTTCTTGGTTCACTCTGTTCTCTTCATCATCTTCATTATCTTCCTCAAAATCATCTAAATTTCCAATATCTGCTTGCTTCATACTCATCAGACTTGCTAGGCTTTGCATATCTTCATCCCTAACAACAACAATTCGCCTACATCAAATTAACCGTTGACACCAATTATATGTCTTATGAATTTCTGCAACACTCTAACCTACAACACCCAGACCTATGAAAACAATGCATGCACTTCTCTTTATGATGATACACTCATCATCACTGACTCTATTCTACCCATGTTCAGCATTCCTCAATGCAGCAAGCCAGTTCTAACCTTGGAGGCCCAGTTGTGCCATGAAGCATTAATGGAGTTATGGCTGATAGCTGCACCAACACTGGAAACTATTTCTGCTCTTTGTGTGAAGGGACACACTCTAAATTGTGCAACCAAATTTCTGTCTGGTTTCTTAAAGCTAAAGTAAAGGGGCAGCAACTGATAGAATACTATGCTGCTGAATTACTAGTATTTATATAGGGCTTTCCTTTAATGTATGTGAAGCATGATCTCACTCATTTTTACAAGAACTCAACAAGGTAGATCTATTCTGGTATCTCATACTATGAATTATGGGCTGGGGCTGAGAGAATGCTTGCTTGTCTAAGACACTGATTGTATATTTCAGATTCATAGCTCATTTTTTTAACCAACTATGTCAAGAGACTATTATAAGTGTAATCAATTGTAAACAACTCAAATGACATACTGCATGGTAGAGAATATTCTCAGAATCTGACATGGTTCAAAAAGAGTCCTTTGAAAAACACACAACTTTCTATCATCTCACATAAAACTTACGTTGCTTTTCCTTCTCTCAGGAAAATACATGATAAAGAGAACTGCAGGGTAGCAGATATAACTTTCTTAGACAAAGGCTTGAATTTTAGTTTGACATCAGTCTGTGTGGGCATGGGACTTGCATATTGCTTCATGTTAATATTGCTGGTGGCAAGAGCTTTCCTGCGTCCAGAAGGAGATTCCTTAAAGGAAAAAACAGAATGAAGTATCACAGTTATAAAATTATATTAACACTATTATTTATTTGGCATCTTAACTTTTTCCCATGCATGCTTGTTTACAACCACCCTCTTCCTCACCCCTCTCTTGCTGCGGATGTGCAGGACTCACACGCACAGGTAGGGGCTGCCTTCCCCCAGCAGTAAGGCACACAGAGGGTATCAGTATGGGCAGGCTATGCCTTTCTCCACTGCCTCCCATGCCATGGCTGCAGCCAGCCTTGCCTGGTGTCTTGTATTCCCACCTTCAAAAACACCTCCACCACCTCTGCCAGGCTGAGCTGTGAGCACCTTCAATCTGTAGCTTCCTCTCCAGTCATCCCCATAGCCAGCCCTCCCCACAAGAATCAAACCACTGTTGAAAAACACGTATTTATTTCTGCATGTATTTATCTACAGGGACTCAGGTGCAGGGAAAGAATAGCTGTGCCAGGGAGAAAAGTATGTGGTTTCTTCTGCTGGTGCATGAGCTCTGTTGGCCTACAGCTGTGCCCACACGCTATTTCTCACATCCCACAGCTTCCCACTCCATGCTGGCATGTATCTAGCATGCAGGTACCCTTTTCCCACTGTTCACATCACCTGGCACTGCCCACTCCCTAACTCCACGGACATACGCCTACAGGTCTACATGCCTAGCTAGCTTGTAGCAATACACAAGGGGCTCCAAGAGCTGCTCCCAGGGGTGCAGGAGGGAAGCATCTGTGTCCTGGCCCCACCTCCTCAATTTCACTGCAGGGTGCACAGGAAGCCCTGAGGGGCACTCTTAATGTAGCTACTACCAGGAAAGAGGCTGGCCGCTATGCTGGGACAGAGGCTCAACCAGTGGAACTTCTATGGGTAAGTAGTTCTCCCAGATCCACTGGAGAATTCTGGTGTGAATCTCCCATGTCTGACATCTAGTAATGGTGGGTGTTTGCAAATTCAGATGGCAGGGGTCCTGTCAGACCCAAGAAATGCCAGGCACAAGATAGGAGCAAAGGAGAGGGTGGGAGGCAGAGCAGTGGACAAGGGCTTTTTGGGGTGCTCACCCTTTTGGTGCCTCAAATGTAGGAGCAACTTTTCTGAGAGAGGAGTGATGCTGCTGCCTGAAAACAATGGTAGAGCATTCACGAGTGGTGTTTGTATGAACTGCAGCAATCAGAGAACACCAAACATAGCTGTCTCCAAGGTCCCTGCTGGTGATGTGGTGTAGGACCTCTCTGATCCCAGCAACATTCCAAAGCCACAGGTGGGCAGCTGGAATGCAGCAGAGAAGGAAGAGAAGTGCAGAGCAGCCAATCGGAGAGCAGCTGAGGCCGACACACCAGTTGCTAGGCAGTGGGGAATACAGACAGGAGCATCTTCTCCAACAATGGCTGCTCTGTCTGCAGGACTATATGGTAGCAGTGTAGAAACCATGTTTCTGGGTTCACCTGATCAAACAAGCCATAGTGAGGCATGCTGTTTCCTTCTGTAGTTACATGGAAATCAAATGTACTCGTACCGTGTAGTAAGCCTCTGCTAGGGTTCAGACAAAACAGACTTTGCCGCAGTGGTTTCCACTCTGGTTGGGCATTATGTTTGAACCCAGCCAGTGAAAAATTCACAGAGGGAGGACAGGGAATTACAGTGGAACTATTATCATTGAATAACAATCTCAGTGGGTGCTGGAGTGGCTGGGAAGTGGTACAGACATGAGGGGCATTTGGAAGGCAAAAGGGGGAACTTGCCTCAGGACTGCAGCAGACCAATCAGGAGGAAGCTGCTGCAGTCCATAGGCAAGATTAGGAAAAGGATGGGGATTTCATTTGTAGAGGATACTGGGATGTGTGTTGAAGCCATGAGGATGGAGTGAGGAGTGCAGAAACTGTGCTGCCTGGTTAACCATGTGACTGTCTGACTGTTCAGCTCGGGCAAAACTCCACTGGATGAAACAGTATGGGGTTGTTTGCTGTGTTGTGGGAACCCAGCCTTGGCATCTGATATGGATATGAAGCAGCAACAATCTCAGAGGTAACTGTCTTAGTGAGATTAATTAGGCACCTTCTCCAGTGTGGACGTTGGACAACAATGCTTTCAGAGGCAGGAGTTTCTTCTCTAATATTGGTGTTAAGTACCAGTGTTGGGGGTAGCTTTAGGAGGAGGACTGGGTCAGCTCCTCTTTAGGATGGCTGCAAGGCAATAGCCATCTTGGGGAAGACAATACACAACCAAGTATGAAAGATGTGCCCTATGTTGGAGATGTGGTCATATATTGGGTATATATTTTCATATGTGGTAGGAATGTGAATATATAATGTGATTGCAAGCCATCCTGAGATGCTATGCATAAGGGACAGCATATAAAAGTTTTAAATAAATAAATAATGAATAATGAAATTCTGGAAAGAGGTTTTTAAAGAATGTAGCAAAATATTAAATGTACATATTGACATAAGCCCTGAGATTGCATTATTTTCAACATTTGATAAAAACATTGGAGTTGGAATAATAAAGAATTAATAACAAATTTAATAACTTCAGCAAGACTAATTATAGCTAAGAAATGGAAGATAAAATATGATTTCCAATTAGAGAAGTCTGGAACATAGCTATTAATGACAAATTAACATGTGATATTAAAGTGGAAAAAGGGCACATAAAAAAGTTTAATGAGATTTGAGCTATATTCATTGACTATGTTTTTAAACAAAGGCAAAGGATTTGAGCTGTCAAAAGAATCATTACAGTTTTGGAACGGGGGAATCTCCTGAAGTATTTCAAAGTTTTTGTTTTCTTCTACTTGTGGCATGTATCTTTGGTCCGGGTATTAGGGAGCAAAATAATTCAACAATTATTTTTACTGTATGTTAATCTCTATGTTTGCATTTTAAATGTAGTGGGTTTTTTTGTTTTTTTTTTGGTTTGGACTTTAAAGAAATACAACAACAACACATGCTGCCCATTCACAAGGCTGGAGCAAGCAGCTCTGGATGGAGCAGTCTGATTGCTAGTGTAAGCAATGCTTCTTTTAGATGTTTTAATCTTTTAAATCATATTAGTGATAATTATCATTATAACAGGAATTACATTGTTAGCATTCACATGCCTATACTAACTTAAGGTTAGAAGATACCTTCAGTGACACCTGTACTTCAAATTTGCAAATAAAATACAAATCAGATAAATGCAAAAGGCGCATATATGAACTTTCACAGACTTTGTTTTTGCTTTCTTTGTGGCTTCCATTCTGTCTCTTAACCCACATATATGAAAGCTCAGCTTACAGGCATAATGTCAGCTGATCTCCCTTTTTTCCTGGAACAGGCGCATTAAGTTTCAGCTTACTGCCAGTTGAGCAGGGTACCTAAATAATGAAAGCAGGATAAAAGTGTTTCCGGAAGGACTAGAAGGAGGTGAGGAGCATAAGCTACCGACATTCTATAAGTATTTTTCTCTTATCTGTGTTAGTGACAACCTCCTTGTCATTCCACATTCACAGGATTCTAGAACATCTCTTAACAAGCACAGGTACAAACATTTTCTTCTAGGATTCATCTCAAAAAAGTGGCAAGATGAAAAATCCCAAGTGGATTCTGGAGGCTGGGGTTTTGTTTCCAGAAGCTGAATGAGGAAAAAGTATTTCTTCCCTTATTACTGTTGTTTGGGTTTTTTTTACTTCATTATAAATAGGAACTCAGTAATAGCATCTCTGGAGTGAATTTGTATGTTTATTATTTGAGATGTTCCCTTGGGAAATGTTTCCATCTTATTTACATTTATTTTACAAGAGTCATGTGAATGTGCTACAGTGATGAGCAGTTTTTGACTGTAAATAAGAAAGACTTAGGCTTAGTGGTCTTATTATATTTTGTTTACAAATACATGTACATTTGAGTTACTATTTTGTTTGTGAATTTTCTTGTCGTAAAAGTTTGTAATGCATTTGTGAACAGATGCATTTAATTAATCTGAGTATTTTTGTGATGTATAATTCTCTCTGTTTCTGTGTGTGTGTGTACATACATACACAATTCATAATAAGCATTACTCTATTTTAAGTAGCTCCTTGGAAAGGGGTTTCTCTCTGAAATGCTGGTGGGCTGGTACAAAAATCAAGAGAAACTTTTGAGAATGCATCACTTTGTCTGTCTCCTTTGGCATGTCTTTATTTGACTATTTTAGACATGCTTTTCATCACAAGATTGTTGTTTATATCCAATTGATAACTGATTAGGCTGTAACACAACAGAATATAGTGTAAGGTAAGTGTCGTTAAGAAATACTGCTCATGCATATTTATACAGAAAGGCAACAAAGAAGTATGACAATTTTCACTTACTGATTTCAGAACACATCCTACTTTATATCTTGAATTCAGACAAAAAGCTGTAGGATTAAGCTATTTCACAATTCAGCACAATAGTAAATTATTATTGTTCATACTGGTACAATAATTGAAACTCCCCTATCACACTTTTCCTTCTATAAATTGTCACAACCTTTGACCTTAATCTTGTTCTCCGACTGACAGCAGTGGCCAGGGAGAAGAGCTTGCATTGTTTGTGACAGTCACATCTGTTCAACTTGAATCAGTTGAGAATATTTGCATATTCTTAAGTATTTCTTTTGAGAGGGCCTAAATCCTTCTCAAGTGGTTGGTGCATTTTTGAAATTCACTCATAAGGAATCTACATGCACTAATAGTTCTGTATAATATTATTACGCATAATCTGACAGATACGATTAGTATTTTTAACAGGTATTCTTCAGGGATGATATATTACATTCTGACTTATTCTACTAGGCAAAAATGTCAAGTGCCTTTAGGAAAGGCTACTTCAATCTTTTGATTGAATTGTTGTATTTTATTCAAGACACATTATAACTGTAGTGGCCACATGTTCCTTTTTAGGGAACACTTAATATATGATTAACAGGTGGTAGTTTGGGACATCGTCAGTCAGAATAAGCTTCCTTCTTTTTCCACACAGCAGTTGGGA